GTAAAGCTTTCACAAATTATGGATTTTATCTTGAGTTTGAAAAATTTTTATTTTAGACCAATCTGCTGACGAATCAGTTTATTTCTTAATTATTGAAATAATTTTCAATGCTTCGGTCGACGTATCACTGAAAAAGTTGGAACCGTTGGAAATTCTGGCAATAACTCCTCTAAATTTTTAATCTATCGAAAATTGAATAGTCCGTAATGTGAAATTTTCTCGAGTCTAAAAATTCGAACTTTGATCGAAGAATTAATAATTGTTTAACAAGAAAAATCAAATTTCCATGAATTTTCAAAACGAGTGAACAATTTAGTGAACATTGTTAATTGAAAATGACGATTTAAACTCCCATAATTCAACATTCAGAGGATATTGTCACAGAAATGTGAGGGAATTTCTAAATGTGTAATTTAATACTACTATCAACATTATTAGCGTGAAGGGATGGCATAATAATGGCATAAAGGGAATGAGTTAATAGACAACGCTCAAAATTTTAATGCATTGAATAAAAATAGATGTCAAAAGACATAATTGGATTCGTAAACTAATAAATAATCAACTCTCAGCATCACTTTTTAGGCAACAGATTTAGCAAGAAAGTTATTAGCGCAATTGTTTAACTGTCCATTAACTTATCCCTATCCCAAAACCCATCCCTCTACGGTATATAATCAACAGAGTGACATGAAATTTATCTAGAATTCTTTATTGACGAATCAGATTCTTGAATATTTAAGTAATCCCTCATTTTCATACGATCAATACGATGCGAAATAACCGCAAAAATTAAGAAAATAGAATTCCATTTCATATCCGGTTTTCACGACAAGTAAGAAAATTTAAAACCTTTTAATTTAATATGAAATTAAATTGAATTGCCAACATTTTCACGATGTGGCAGTGGCATGTGGAAGTGAAAATAGAGAACTACCAGAGTATGCAGTCCATCCATAATTCTGCAAAGACATATCGTTCTGAAAATTTCTATTTTAAAAATGTAAAATTTCCCGCTTTTCACTTGAAATTTCGACTGTAATTTTTGAAAAGTGCACGCTAATTGCTAACGACTATAACAATCGACTTGCATTTTGAAGTTTCGGTTCTCCACGATTCGTGCGATTAGTTCCCTTCACATACTTGGTCATGCAAAGCCCCTACATCCTCTGTATTATATTTTGATCCAAACACACGTGTAAACACAACGCACAATACCCTCGAGCACAATAAATAATGAGCTTTGGTAGAGTAGTACAACATTAGTAACATAGTACGATTGGATGGCTCGGTGGCTGGTACGAGAGCCCGAGATAACTGAAAATTTCAATGGGTAATGCTTAGCTAATGCTTAAATCACACCCGGTATGCGTGAAACAACATGCATTAAACGCATTATGCTGAGAATCCACAAGTATAAGTCATGTATACAGAAGTACCGACTCGTTGTACCTATAAACTCAAGTGTTTCAAGAGTTTAAGACCTCGTGACTGGTGAGTTCATGCACCGAGAATGATTATATGTTAGCTTCAAAGGCCATTTACATTTTTACTATTTAACATTGCACATTGTTTTTTATTTTCACCTATTACTAGTTCTTACTGCTCTTGATATATCGATATACCGATAACGACAATGGGCTTGGCTATCAATAATACTTTCGTGTATGTGAAAAAAGTATGGAGCATTGATCGACATCTGCGTAATGCTGGTTATGCTCTGTTATTATTTTTTTTTTTCATTTTTCTAGGAGAAGAATCGAATGAGAAGCTTTACAATATACACAAGCACCATTGGGAATTTTCTTTTCCCGTGGAAAATTGTTATGGAGCACTTGTTATGCCATATTGTGGTTAAATATTTCTGGGAATAAAGCGCAGAGTCTTTGAAAATTTATAGATTTTTTTTCTTCCGGAGAGAAGAGAAAATTCCGATGATCACAATAATATGCATGAAACATTACATAGAGTTTGTTGAGTACTTACGGCAGTTGAGCTCATCTGATTTATCGTGACACTCTGCTATACCATTGCATCGCAATCGGTTGTCTATGCACTGATGATTTCTACAACGGAATTCGTGTGGAGTGCAGGCTGAAAGTAGAAATGACGTTTTCTATGAATTATTCCAATTTAGAAACAACTGAATTGAAATGGTGTCGCGTTTATAAAAAGCAGTGGTATGTAGTGTAGTAGAGTGTGAAATCTCAATATCGTGTGGTGCCTGGAGTTATGGCTCTTTGGGTCAAAATAAAATGATTCGATGGCAATTGGTCTCGGAGCCATAATGCCACTATAAAACTCAAGTGAAACTCATTCCATTAGGTTTTAGTGATTTTAACAGGAGGAATTTACATCGTTAACATAAGTACAATTTCTGATTATTCGTGGGGAGAAGAATCAAGTATTTTTAGAGGAG